CTTTTTTAAACAGTTGTTTACAGCTGTATTATTTTTAAAAGAAAGAATCACTTCTAGCAAAGGAAATCTTTAACACAAACTCTAAGGAAAACCAATGTTCCAAAAGATGAGAACAGCTTGTTTTGCCTGCTCTCAACACCTGTCATATTTCTATAACATGCCTATTTGAACTTATTTTTTTTTCTAATTTTCAACCCATGTTGTACCACCTAATTGTCTCATTTGTGCCCTTTTAATTTTTCTCTTTATATAAGCCCTTTCTTTACATTTTCAGATCCTTTTAATCTTTCAAAGCTTAGAGTCGTTTCTTTAACAGTCTTGCTAATTCCAAAATTATTATTTGTCAATCCTTTCTACTTTACTTCTGAGTCCATTTCCTACAAACTTAACATTTCACTATATCATCTTGTAATAACTAGACTTAAAACAGATTTAGAAAAGAAACCATGATTTATTCTTTGTTTTTCCTAGAGACCTAGGATAACCCAGAGCACACAGTAAATGACCGAAGAGCCCTTATCAAGAAGCAGCATGACATGGTTGAAAATGCGTAAACTCAGGGAGTCATAGATGTGAGTTCAGGTCTGGTTTGCCCTTTTTGTGATCATGGTGTTAAAAAGAACAACCACAGGCCCAAAATGGCGTTACTTGTGCTAAAAGCCCATTATACCAAACCTAGATTTAACACCTGAGGTAAGTGTAGTTTCAGCCTCTCCCAGGAGTGGAATGTTAAACCAATCAGTCTGAAATTGCCTGATCCACACTAGTGAGGTAATCTGTCTAAGAATCCCGGTCTTCCCCTAAGGGAAGGTGTGTCCTTGCTTGAAATAGTCCACTCTTAACTTCTTAGTCCCACCATATTTCTGCCTATGAATATCTTCCATTTGTACAACCCTTTCTTCTTGCTAGATGAGATGCTGCCCAATTCATAAATCACTTAATAAAGCCAATTAGATCTCCTAATTTACTCAGGTGAATTTTGTTTTTTAAGAAATGAGCAAGATGTTTAGCTTTTCTGAACCCACACTCCCCTGCAAAATGGGGATAATACCTTACAGGGTGGCTGTGAGGAGGGGATACAAT